CGTGGCCCTTTATGAGGAGCAGGATCTGTGTGAGGGGTTTGCAGAAATGTCACTGCTGGTGACACACGGAGGTGGGTCGTGCATCGACAGGAGTTGCAGGTGACAGCCCTGGGAGATGACGGTGGGCTCTGGTGTTTAAATTGGTCCAGAAATGGATGACAAAGATGATCAAGGGCTTGGAAACCAAGCTGTACAAGGGGAGCCTGAGGGAGCTGGGTGTGTTCAGCTTGCAGAAAAAGGCTGGAAGGGGGGACATGACAGCAGTCTTCAAATGCCATAAAAAAGGGGGAAATGCCTTTCCTGCATTGCTGTGGAGAGGAGGGTGCAGACCAGTGGCTGGACGGTGCAGTCAAGCAGGGGGTCAGGAAAAGCTCCTCACTGCCGGAGCAAGGAGGCAGGGGCAGAGGTGCCCCGGGAAGGGTCGCTCTTCGTCTCTGGTGGTGTTCAAGGAAAGGGTGGCCAGCCACTGGGCAGGGATGATCTAGGACAGGGGTGAGTAAAATACAGCCAAGGCATCTTGTCTGGTCTGCAGCACGTCCCTTGGCCCCACTTGGCCCAGGTGCGAGGGGCAGCCCAAACCGTGGCATGCATGGCTGTTTCTGCCACCCTCGGGGGTGCAGCGGAGCTGGGGTGCTGCAGAGGCCAGATGATTTCCTGGCAGCTCCGGCAGTGCACGCCCAAACCTACAGCCAGAGGCACCGCACGGCGCGAGTAGGCAGGATCTCCACTGAGACCAGCTGGGACCTTCATGGGCACCAGGACAGACGGGACAAGGCTGAGGGCGGGCGAGCGGCAGGACTGGGGATCGGGCCCATGGGGTGGTGACAGCACAGGGCTGGGGCAGAGCCATGACCTGCTCCTTGCACGCCCCTGCCCACAGAGCCGGCTCCTGTCGCAGGGATGCACAGAGCGGTTCATGGCTGTTGGCCGGGGCCAGCTGCCTGCTTTCACCACCTCAAGATCCCCACCCGCATACTGCTCTCCACCTGGATGCAGCCCCATCCCAGCCACCCGGCTGCACATGGGGGGCAATTAGGGAGTTTTGGTGAGCTATTGCGGGGGAGTGCTGACCCGGCTCGGCAGCTCGCTAAAACTCCCCAAGTGTCCCAAAACAATTGCTTACCCCTGGTCTGGGACTAGCGTTGCCTGGCGTGCGCTGGGAATAGCAGCAGCTGGAAGCGCAGGAAACCCCCATCCATGCACTTGGGAGGAGCAGGTGGCAATGAGGGTGGGCTGTGCTCAGAGGCAGGAGAAGGCGGCAGAGCTCCACGCCTCGTTTGGACCTGGGTACTTGGGGGATGGGTGAACTGGCAGGTCGGAGACCGATAGAAGAGGCATGACGCAGGTGTGCAGCCCAGCCTTGCGTACAGTCAATATGAGGCTGGGTCTCGTATTCCAATAATTGTTTCTTCTCTGTTTGGTTTTAGTCCAATTTCTTTCTGTCACTGAAACGTTTGGGGCTGGAGCGAAGCAGGCCTCTTGTGAGCTTGGCGGTGGCAATTCACCGGTGCTTACATCCTTGGGAAAGTAGAAGGAGGGTTGCTCACCCCTTCCTTTGCCATCTTCCCAGACGAGGCCACTTTGTTTTCACTCCTTAGCTAAGAAACTTAACAACAAAGCAAAAGAGCCTATAGTTATGTCAGTCAGTACTGCTAATCTTTTGGGATACGGTCATGCTATACCCTATGTGGATGATCGAATTTAAAGTCTTCTTTTAGGATGCCTCCATTCAGGCCTCGTGCTCTGTTTAATTGGATTT